ACTGCACGAATAACAGCTACATGACTGGACCCTTAATATTCACATACTGTTAGTATGATATCTATATGGGCATTCTAATGGTGTAGTTTGAGAATACTGAGAAATCTAGAAGTCCAGAAATGAACTTAAAGTCCTTGACCATCAATGGGACGTTGCCTGTATAAAAGGAAATTAAGATTGTGTCCCCTCCACTGTTCCCTCTAAGCTGTGTGCCTGTGAGTGCACACACAGATCCTAAACCCTGAACACAGAGTGAAACACCGCGTGCACAAAAATTTGCACAGAAGCACAACAATTTGCGCACACAGCCTGTCAAAAATTAGAGGGAACATTGGTCCCCCCACCATGTTCTCCACAATAAATCTGCATTGCCAAAAGCGGCTTATCACCAGGAGTGCTGGGTATTTCTCCAGCTTGGAAACTTCTCTAGACCTTGTTGCAGCAGCAGAATCATGCAACTGGAATTGTTCGATTAACTGGAATCGTTCGATTAACTGGAATCGTCTAGATTTCTAAGAAGCTGTTACATTTAGGATACAAAATATCTGTGTGTGCCAACTGCTTGAACTCCCTGTGAACTCAGTGGCCCTGCACTGCATGTGTCTTATTATAATGGTTGTAATATAGCCTGTAGTCTCATGACAAATTCAGTAATGCTGTGGCAGTCAGGTAGGATCTGCTTAACCAATGCATGGATATTGGTTGTCAAGATTGTTTTAGAATGCTGTTCAGCCAAATACAAATAATACAATTTTTCAATAAATAAACTGTCAAGAAAACCTCACTACCAGGGATGTTTTAACGCAAAAGAGACATCTTGGCTAACTATCTCCTTCTTACTCATGCTGGTAATGGTAAGGTCCTCTTATCCCCTTCCAATTATAGAAGACACTGAGAGATGTTTTAATTCCCTCTGAGGATCCTAGGGATTCTTCAGAGCTTCTCATTCCTCTTACCTCCTCACACAGGACAGTAGGAGCTTCCCCTCTCCTTTGTTTCAAGAGGCCTGGTTTAAGCTAGGAAAACCAGTACCTGATTTTTAGCAAGAGCTGCACCATTGCAATCGACAACCTAACTGCTAGGATAGATGATGTGCCAGTATTAAGCAACACCTGAGCCCAGGAATGGAGTAGTTACACTGGAACTGAAAAACAAACACTAATTTTCCTAGCGTGGACCTTAGAGCACAGGAGGAGAGAGTGGCCATAAACTGCTTGGGATGCACCTGTCCTGTAATTCCAACAGCAAAAGTACAATATGAATACTAAGCCACTTATAGTCACTAGGTGGAAAGTCCATTGATGGGGTTTGGAACCGTCATTCGTTTCACTATGACACAGTCCACTGGAAAAATGGCTCTATTCACAAACAAAAAGCAGACAACTTTCAGTGGAATTGAGCCCAGAGATGTGTGAATTTGCTCACAGAAAATAATGACCTGAATCTTCTCCAAAATCCAAACAAACTTATTTTGAAGTATTTACCGCTCAGTCAGACACAATAAAATCCAGAAAACTCAGAAGAGACCCAGATCTTCTAAAATTTCCTGTCCAGTTTTGTAGATCAAACACTTTGGATAAACTATACTCTACAATGTCTGGATGTGTGCCTCAGAACCAAAACATCAAACCATCTGATGGTTCTCCATCATTGCTTAAAATCAATTACAGTATTTCTGCTCTAGTGAGATGTCTGTAGTTGGACTCAAAGAAGCAAATGTCAATCAAGTAAATAGAAATAATTTTGGATTAAAAAATAGTACAGGTTGTAGTTATTCCAAGCCCAAATGATGGAAATACTCTAGGCTAAATTGTTCTACTTTTGAGGGTATTGTGTGCCAAACTACTGGTTAGTCAATATCTAACCTCTATAGGAGCAGGTAAAAATCCTTCAAAATTTAAAAAAAAAATTCAAAAACAAAAATTGCCATTTTTCAACCAAGTGAGTCCCTATACAGTTCATAAAAGATTATCATGATTTTTCTGTAAGCTTTAGCTGGTACTGGAAAGAGAAATAACTGCAGAGACATTGACTTTTATAAAACACTCAAAGTTTCATTTGGAAAAAGCTGCGTCATGGGTATGCTGTGGACACAAGGTTCAGGAAATGTCTTCCCGAACAAATATTTTGCAACAGTATTTTTAAAGCAATTAATATTTGACAAAAATTTCTACATTGGTCACGGATCAGTTGGCAAAGTGTAAAATAAAACAAAATCAAAAACTGAGCCCTTTCTATTGAAAGGTTCCCACCCTTCTTCATTTTCATTCACTGATTTTTTTTTTTTGTAATAAACAGTTATGTACATACTATCCTCTTCCTAATACAGGAAAATATATCCTCAAACTAAGATTCCACCTAAAGCTATTGCACTTCTTCCGAGGAAAGGGCATCCAATGTCAACTTCAATATGCTTGATCTTTGCCCTTCCCTTTCTCTCCCCCTCTCAATGCCAATCTGTTTATAAAATGAAGGAAGTGTTCCAGCAGTCACGTTTCCAAACACTCTTAAAATTTTCATTTCTATTCCTTTGTTCTTCACCACCTGTTCAGCTGCTGATACATTCTTTAAACACACACAGTATGCTGGTCACATTCAGAACATGCCAGCCAAGTCCACATCAAAGTGGTAGAGAGAAAAAAACAGTTTTTCCATATATAATCCACAAAGGCAGCATTCGCTCTCTCTTGGAGTTTTTTTGTGCCCTAGTGAAGTACTGGACCTAAAATTCAAGTAGCTTAAGAACATAAGAACGGCCATACTGGGTCAGATTAAAGGTCCATCTAGCCCAGTGTCCTGTCTTCTGCCAGTGGCCAAGGCCAAGTGCTTCAGAGGGAATGAACAGAACAGGTAATCATTGAGTGATCCACCCCTTCACCAATTCCCAGCTTCCGGCAAACAGAGGCTAGGTACACCATCCCTGCCTATCCTGGCTAATAGTCATTGATGGACGTATCCTCCATTAACTTATCTTGTTCTTTTTTGACCTATCCTCCATGAACTTATCTAGTTCTTTTAGTGTCTTGGCCTTCACAACATCCTCTGGCAAAGAGTTCCACAGGTGGACTGTGCATTGTATGAAAAAGTACTTCCTTTTGTTTGTTTTAAACCTGCTGCCTATTAATTTCATTTGGTGACCCCTAGTTCTTGTGTTATGAGGTGTAAATAGCACTTTCTATATTTTCTTTGAACTGCACTGTACACAGAGCCAAATCCTCTGAAGTCTACTATATACCAACATCTTCAGGATCCACATTTAATCAGGATCATCTGTTTTTTCCCCCTCATAAAGAAGGATCTTGGCAAATATTAATTATAGCAACCAATGAAAGCTGCTGTATGTGATATCTCAGTCATACAATTTGACTGTTTTTGCTACAGTTGGATTTACTTCTGCAATATGCCTCCCAATAATTTGCTTTGGCCTTGAATGAAAGAAATAAGGTGCTCAGGTCTCTTTAGAAAAAAAGTTAGGTTTAGTTTTGAAAATAAAAAAGTTAGTTAGGGACAGAGTCATAGAGTTTGAAGCCCTAAAGGACCACTAGTTCATCTAGTCTGTCCTCCTGTATATTACAGACCACCACCATCATCCAGCACCTGCACTAAACCCAACAACCAAATGAGACCAAAGTATTACAACCCACAGAAGACAAGATTATCACACTCCACAGGCAGAGAACAGGAGGAACTGAAGTGCACCAGTGCTCAAGGCCCCGGCAAAGACAGGAAAACAATAGATTGAGGTATACCCAAATAATTCCAATAAGTGACCTGCACCCACAGGCTGCAGAGAAAGGTGAAGACCCTCCAAGGTCACTGCCAGTCTGACCTGGGGGGAAATTCCTTCCTGACCACACATATGGCCATCAGTTAGCCAGCCAAACACATGAGAGAACCGTTAATGGAAACCAGGAGTCCTGAGCACCAATCTTTTGCCCTAATCATTAGACATACAACAATATTAGTAACAGCCCATGGAAGAGTGGCACATTTAGCCATTACGAATGAGCTGCTATAGGTTTTAAAGCATGAAGCATCACAAACCTGGAAACAAAATTATTTGATTTCTGTTACGGTTTTGATAATACAATGAGACTAATTAAATGTAGATGAAACAACTTGATTATCATCCTTGATTGCTGAGCATTAACAACATTTGTATGTGCATGAAGTACCCTTTTAAAAAGAGACATTAACGTGTATTAGAATGTATCTATTATTATACTTCCAAGATTTTGCACATCCGTTTGACGGCTGGTCCTTTTGCAATTAATATCAGCATTGTTAGAAGTCCCCTACCACTCTCCCCATATATGCAGTAAGATGTGGAGAGAGCTTTCAAAAGCCTATGATTTTACCTATTTGCACAGGCTGAACTTAATTTTTCCCCTTAAAAAAAAAAAAAAAAGATTGGGGGGGGACTCTTCTCTAAAAGTGCTCATTTGCAAAATCTATTCTTTCTCAAATATCTTCAGCTATTAGGAAGTAAATTTAGCTATTATTCTAATTTGCTTCAACTTATAGGTACAGATACGCAAGTGAACATATGTTGAACAAGCTGGTTAAGAATATTTAATGGGAATTTAGCAATTTGTAAATTGAAAGTGCAAATGTGGCAGTTGCCATAGATCCTTGTAGTTCCTTGCTGGCACTGAGCCCAGGAAAGCTTAAAAATATGCAACATATTGATAGAAGAAAAAGGAAGAAAAACAGAATTTCATGTGTAAAGCTTGCTGTAGAAATATAACTCTGCATATGGAACTTATTGTAAATTGTGTAAGCAAGACAAAATAATTTTTAATGCATTTATGTCTGCATTGTGCTACTGGGATTAATGCAAATATTATAGTCATACCATAAATTCACAATGAAGCGAATGCCTACAAGCAATTCAGTTTCCTATCCTTTGTAGCAATGAACAGGACTGTGTTTATTCTGTATGAGTTCTACATTTGTCAGCAAATGAAATGGTGAGGAATAATCTCCTCACTTGTACTTACCTCCTTGTGACATTTCTGCCACGGAAACAAAGATCCCCTTTATTTAAGCCACAGCCACAGAGGAAGGCACGACATTTTCTAATTCCTAGCAAACAGAAGGAAAGTGAAAGAGACAGTTAATGAGCTATTATTAAATAATAGCAACCCTAATGCTAGCAGATGTTAAGCCTATTACATCAATAAATTATGATAAACTTCCATTTTTTTCATGTTCCTATAACTCTCATATCAGTTCCTCAGGTTCTTGCTTTGTTATATCTAAATTAGCACATCTAGTTAAATTATTGGTTGCATGATTTGAGAATTGCATAACAAACCAGCTTTTATTGAAGAGGCTGATTCTATCAGGCATACCGCACCCTCAGTTCCCATGGGTGAGCACTCATGTAGGATTGAACCACAAACTTTATAAATTAGCTTTAAATTAAAGACAGCTTGTGAAAACAGACAACAGATACTAGATTGGTAAATCTCTGGCAGAAATTATCTTCCTCCATATATTGCTCAGTACCAAGATGACAGTCAGAACTTAATAAAAAATAAATAATAATGCTTTTATAAAAGTACTGCAGTATTCTGCAATCATCACCAAGATGCAGTAACACAAGATGTAGCATTTTAGATCTTTTTAATAAAGGTATTGCCAAAGACTCACCCCCTGACCACAAACTTAAGTGCCCATTGCAGTCACAACTGTGTACAGAAATACAAGACACTCATCTAGTAGTGCCAGAAGAGGGGATAGTTACAAACTCAAAACTCTGGGCAGGGTGTCAAAATATTCACTCAGGTTCCTGAATCTTTTAAGCAACTGGGCCCTGAATGAGGGTCAAATTAAGATTATGGCAAGCCACCAGTTTAAATTGGGGAAAATATACAGTCTAGAGTAAGCCTAAAGCTAACTAGTTACATCTGTATTTTATGGAGTGCAGATGGTAATTTCCCATTCTACATGCAAATTATCAGCTGATGGCATTGAGAAGTAAATGAAATCTTGATTTCTGTGAAATCTTGTACCATAAATTGCACAGGCCTCCCTCTCCCCTCAGTCAATGGGAGCAGGATCTTGAATTGACTGCAGGGAATATAACAGAGTGCCCAGAAAGTTGGGGGCAGGAGGGAGGATGTGAGAGCACATGTGTGGCAAGATGGGGGCTGCCCTCCTTCAGTTCCACTGCCTCCCTTTTGGCTATATCACTAAGCTAGCTGTTTGGCTCTCACCTGTTCCCTCTGCAGCCTATTTAAACCTTCCCAAGATTTTGTAAAGCTTCTTGCTCCTGCTAGATGCCCTATCCTCCCTTCCCTTAGTTGGAGTGAAGAAGTTGTGTTTTTAAGGACACTGCAGGTCTGACTAATTGCCTGTTTTGGAACAACAAAGAAATTTTTCCCATTGGGCCAAAGTGTCAGAGGTCTACTGGTTTTTTTCACTTTCCTCACAGCATCATGAGGATAGTTGAGTTGACAGCAATAGGACATGAAAGTTTAATAGTAGAATAGGTAAAACTGGCCAGTGTTCAATGCAGATAAAGGTTAAAAAGGCCAGAGGTAAATGAGACCCAGCGTTTCACTTGTGGAACTTGTTGCTATATAGGAGAAGAAGAGATCTGAAGCCTTCGTGGACTGAGGTCCCCCTTGGTAACTTCTATATATCCCACATGCACACAGTGGGAGGAAGAGCGAGCTGAGGCCTAGGCAGGTCTAACCTAATTTATTGGTTATATGATGAGAGCCCTGAAACCCCACAGTGGAACCAGTTACATGCCTGGTATGTGTGAACAGGGGGTGGGCATATATCTTAAATCTATCTGATTCCTGTGTGTTTGTCACTCATTCGCCTGTGTCCCCTGATCAATCTTGATGCAAATAGAACTCCCATTAGCTTTAAATGAGAGTTTTGCCTACATAATGAATTATTTTAAAATTGCACCCCAAATGAACAACTTTGTACTGAAACCTGGGAACACTAGCTAATTTAATATATAGAAACACTTGTTTTTCTCTTCTTTAAAGAGCTTCAGGGTTGATGGATTCACCTGATGATTTTGAATAGAAATTTTTTTGTTTAAATCCTAGTAGAGTTACAAATATATTAGAGTCCATTATTGATGACTGTTCCTTTCCTCTCTTTCACTTGGAAGACAGTCATTACGTGTCTCAGCAATGCAAAAAAGCCTGCCTAACATTTAATATGCAAAAGTGAGAAACTACTGTAAAGATATGATCACCATCAAAAAAAAAAAAAAACTTTACAAGGGTCAGTTATTTAAATGGCAAAACTAAACTAGTTGTGTTCCTGAAGTACAATTTTTAATCTAAACACTTCTCCAAATTTCAGGGTGTTCAGAGAGGGGATCAAGATCAGTCCAGAATAGAGGTGAGCAGTAAAGTTGAGATCTAAATTTGGTTTCAAACATCTCAGAGGTCAGATTTGGTTCTGATATGTAGAGATGGAGCAGCCCATTGTAGAGCAGCAATAGCTTCAAACTTCCCCCTAAATCCTTGTATGTTATCTGGAAATTTAAAAATGGGCTTAAAACCAAAGATCATTTATGCTTGCTTGAATCCCCAGTGTTGGTTCTGTCAATCCACACACAGGTTCTGGAGCAGGTTTCTATGAAGTGTTGTATAATAGTCAGCTTCCCTTCACCAGAAGATGTAATAATGTTTTGCTCAACTAATCTTGTTGAATGAGGGGCAAGAAGCTCTCTGTGAACGTGTGGACAGAGAGGTAGTGAGGGACAGCATTTACACTCGGCAGGGGGAGGGGGAAGCTGGCTTCAGGCTGGGAAGTATGGTCCTGGGCCCTGTTCCTGGGCCCATTCTACCCCTCAGGTCCCAATCCCTACTCCCTGGCCTGATCTATGGCAATGCGGAAGCCGTTCCAGCATCTCTTGGTCCCATTCTTGCCTCTGCACCCCTCTCCAAACACCAGCCACGCACAAGTTTACTCAGGGGCAGAGATTCCACAATATTTCCATTGTGAGGGCGCTCGCACATCCCTATTCCCTGTTGTTACATATGCCTGGCTGTTGTGTGTTAGCAATTGTCCCTCCCCCTCTGGCACAATGGGAGACCATTCCACCTCACTATGTCACTGGGGCACCACCCAGTATCAAGAAATTAGTGAATCAAGTGCCAGGGCCTGAGGCCTCTTTGGTGGGTTAGGGCAGAACAGCAAAGTAGTCTAGGTAGCTCTGACGCTCCAGCTGGTCAGAGCAGCAAAGCAGTCGGGGTAGCTCTGACCCTCAGGCAGGACAGAGCAGCAAAGTATTGTAAGGAGCTCAGGCCCTCAGGCAGGGCAAAGCAACGAACAGCTGTTCAGCCTAAGGTGGAGAGCCTGCCACATAGGGTAGAGGAACCCGGGCCCATCCTACTCCACCGGGTCCCAGTCCAGGGCCCTGACAGTGGCAGAGCGCTCCACCAATGGATCAGCCGGGATCCCACTGCAACACACTGACACAGGTTCTGATAGTAAAATCAGACCAAAGTCTGGTTCCCCTGGGCTACTTCCTATCACAATCTGGGAGAGTGGTACCATCTGCTGGGGCCTGCTGCAAGCTTGGGACATCTATTTCCTTCCCTAGCTCAGGCTCAACTGGGCTAGAGATCCCGCCTCTTATACTTCCTGGCCTGCCCCTTAGCTTCCAGCATGAAGGGCAGGCCTGGCCAGCTTCTGCCCACCCAGCTTCTGCCCACCTCTTGCTCAGTGGGAGGCCACTCCACCTCACTACACTGGCCTATGATTAGAGGTCCTATTTTCAATCAAAGTATGCGAAAGCCCTACTCTATGACTGGCAAACAGGGAGGAAGGAAAAACCACTTCCCTCTAAGTCCACTTGTTTTTAGCCTAGAGTTACAAGCAATAAGCTGGGAAAAAGAAATAGGGTTCTTCAGAGGCTGAACATGGCAACTTTATAAGGTTATTGAGGTGAAAACAAACAGAAGTTAAAAGCGGAAAAGCTAAATAAGGGGCCATTTCTCATTTTGAAACACCTACTGAATGCTACAGGAATTTAGTGGCGCAGAGGATGCAGAACTTGGCCCTAGCCCCTCAAGAGTTATTTTTAGACCAAGTGGGTGCTTAGTTTATCATTTGTAGAAGTCTATTTTAAAAACAGTCTAATTTTCTAGAAACTAGAACAGATCATATAAATATCCACCCCTTAAATATCAGATGAGTTTTTAAAACTGTGTTTTAATCAGTTAAATTAATATTCTGAATGTAGATTATAAGAACATTTAGTGGATAATGTGCAAGAATTAGAATATTTTTCTGGTAAACACAAGTGTTTCACTGCTGGTGCATTAATAGAAAATAAATAAGTAAATCTTTCTGATAAGCATGAGAGCTTTCCCAATGCAGCCATTTCTGGACCTGACACTGTTATTATCTTACCAGTTTAACCTTTTTCTAATATTGCTTAATTTGAACTGGACGGCCATTTTTCTAAAGCAGGCTCTCTCGTAAATAGAGTAATACTTTGTGTGCTGTGTGTATTAAAAAAAAACTGCTGTGTGCACAGACTGCCACATCCAGAAGTGTACACATGATATTAAATTAGTACAGGTCTCCATTATATGTTTGGCACTCTGAAATACAGGCGAGTTATGCTATGAATAATGTAGAACAGATGAGATTTGTTTTTCCCCCAGAAAAGCGTGTGGATAGGTTCTATTTCTAATGTTCAGACTTCAGACTAACAAAAACCCTAATCAAGAACAGAAGTCTTGAAAGCGTCAAATAGTGATACAGCATTTAATAGCTCATTCTAGAACGTAAAACCCCAGTAAGAGTTGGCTTTTGAAGAGAGGTTTTCAAACTGGGGTCTGTGAGCCAGAATACTTGCTGGTGGTGTGCTGAGAGCGGTTTGGTTATATGATGCTGGCTCCTGATTTCCAGCTGCTAAACTCCAGTAAAACCGTTAAATATGTATTAAATTCTTTCCTAATTACTTTTCCATTAAGCAACAACATAACCCATAGATATTATACACGGTCTACAGCCTATATAAAATTAACAAGTACAAAGAATGTCACATGCCAGGTTTATGTACCAAAGAGAGAGACAAACTAATTGCCATGAAACTCAAATCACTGTCCAGTAGACAGACTCTCAAAGAAAATTTTATATACCGCTGCTGCTTCAAACCTCCTTGGTTTAAACTACACTATTCTCCTAACAAATAGATGCACATGCTATACATTGTGACTGTTTCTCTACATGTAATGTAGATGTTCACATGCTCCAGTTCCTTTCCCTGCTGCTTATGTACCTGTCAAGTTCATTCACACTCTTCTCCCTGCATGGACAGAATTGGCCTCTCTGCCATCTACTCACATAGAATTTCCAAGTGTGCATGCATAAAACAGGTGTCTCACCAACCATTAACAAACAATAAATCATAACAAATCCATAAATAGCACTCACTAAGGGAGAGACAGGATCTGCTTTGCAGAATTACACACACACACACACACCTTTAAAAAACTAAGATTGCCTATGCAACCTTAATTTGGCCAATTTGTGCATATGCATTATGATACAATCTTCAACTATGTGATCACATACTACTTTTTCCACAAGTCCCTGCAGGATGGACACTGCTCACTGAATGTGTAGTTATTCAATATTTCTTTTATCCTCCTCATTCAATATGTGACCCCCCTGCATTATCTACCACACACCTTTCAGATTCTGCACTGAGTACAGAATTTATTAATTTAGTTGTGTGCTTTTCTATGATGCTGTCATCATATTACCTTAAACTCTTTACAAATGATAATGAGTTCATTCTTCACAACACCCATGCGAGATTGACAGAAGCATCAACTAACCTTTTTCCAGGAAGCAGGGGGGCGGGAAGAGATGGGCACAATTTGAGAGAATCGATCCTGATTTTTTCAGAGTACTTAGCATTGTATAGCATTTTATATGGTCAGAGCAGAGATCCCATCGACCTCAGCTGGAGTTGAGTGCTCAGCTTCTTCTGCAAATCAGACCCCAGGTATCTCAAGAGGTACACAGAAAATGAACATACAATGGCCACCCATGAGAAGTATGATTTAAGTGACTTGCTCAGCATCACACAGGACCTCCATGGCAAAGACAAGACGAGAATCCAATTCTCCAGGGAGGTGTTAACTGCAAGACCATTCTCTACCTTATTCATCATCTTTCAATTTGTGGAGCTGTCATAAACATACAGCTAAGGGTAGCATAAAATCCCTCCTTTACCTGTAAAAGCTCAAATAACCTGGTTGGCACCTGACCAAAAGGAGCAGTAAGAAAAGAAGATACTTTCAAATCTGGGGGGTGGGAGGCTTTGTTTATGTTCTCTTTGTTTGTTCTCTCTCTGGATGAGAGAGGGACCAGGCAGGAAAAAATATCTCCTAAAAACCTACCTGAAATGAGCATCTAAGATTACAAAAATTGTAAGTAAAGGCAAGGAAATTCATGAGATAATCTTTTGTTTTAGCTTGTGAATTTTCCCTATGCTAAGAGGTAATTTAATTCCTGTTTTGTAACTGGAAGCAGAGTCAGAGGGTAATCCTCTGTGTTTTAAATCTTTTTATTTACCCTGTAAAGTTACCTTCTATCCTAATTTAACAGGTGTGATTCTTTTACTTTTTTTTTAAATAAAATTCTTCTTTTAAGAACCTGATTGATTTTCAGTGTCCTAAAAACCCAGGGATTTGGTCTGTGCTCACTTTGTAACCAATTGGTTAGTATATTATTCTCAAGCCTCCCCAGGAAAGGGGGGTGAAGGGGTTTGGGGGAATATTCTGGGGAAACAGGGACTCGAAGTGGCCCTTTTTCTTGGATTTTTATCTAAATCACTTAGTGGTGGCAGCAATACCGTCCAAGGACAAGGAAAGGATTTGTGCCTTGGGGAAGTTTTAACCTAAGCTGGTAGAAATAAGCTTAGGGAGTCTTTCATGCGGGTCCCCACATCTATACCACAGAGTTCAGAGTGGGGAGGGAACCCTGACAGAAGCAAACAAAACAGGGGTCCTTCAGATAACAGCATTATTCACTACACATCCCTGATTCATTCCTAGAACAGTCTGTCTTGTACATTTAATGAGGCAGTGGTCCTGTGGAATTATACTACATAATTATGTAATTAAACTGTACATAATGCATATGCAAAAAGGCCAAATTAACGTTGCATAGGCAACCTTGGTTCTGGCATTTCCTAATTTTTGAGTGCTTAACACTTTGCAATCTTAACATTCTTTTAATGCAGATTTTAAAATGTTATTTCCTAAGATTTTTTTAAAATAAAAAAATTAATTATATGGATTATTACTGACCCCCGTCTCCCAACAGGTCCTCAGCATGGTTGAGATCTTTAGACTCAGAGCATAGTGTTCTACCACTTGCACTAGGTAACGGGCAGCAGTAGAAGGCTGTTATCTTATATGTGGCCATGTCACTAAGGGAGGATGGGGACACATACTTTGCCTGTGGATTGCACAGCTACTTGCTAGACAATAGAGGAATGTGGAGACTCAGAAATAATGGGTTCAATGTCAGTTCCATAGGAGAGTGTTCTCTACTTGTAACAGGCCCTTCTGCTGCTGCTCTCCCTATCCCCTTCTACTCCTATTCCTCCACAGAACCTGCCAGTGTGCCTTCTCTTGCTGCTATCCCTCCACTTCTGTCCCAGTCCTTTCCCATTCCTCCCCTACTCCTGTCCCTAGTTCCTGCCCATGTTTTCTCCTCCCTTTGCTCCTGCCCCTCATCTCCCGCATCTTCTCTCCCTCTCTAGTCCTGCCCCTTTCCTCTCCGTTCTGAGCTCCTCCCCCTCTCCCAACTTTGCATCTCTTTCCCCTACCCCTGCTCCTGTTACTCATCCCTCTGCATTCAAGTCATTTAACTCCTCCTCCTTCACATTGCCTAGGCACCCGCAGGTGGAGCACTGAAAGCACATAAGAGACGGTCCCCCTGCTATCAGTTCTAGAGTCTGGTGCGACAGCAGCTCCCAGTAGTTTGTAGGAGCAATGGCAGGGAATGTCTTCCTGGGACCAGTAGTCCTTGGATGGAGTATGCTCAGTCACTCTGTGCAGATGGCACGCATGCAGTCCAGTGATGACATGGGAGTTGTGGTGGGGATGAAGTATGCTCAGATGGAATCTTCAGAGAGTTTAGCTGCAAAATTCTAAAAAAATTAATGTACAAACTGGGATTTTCAGAGGCTCAACCCTTGGTCAAATTTGGGTGAATTTTCTCAAGGCAAGCAAAAGGTGCATTCCTGACATTTGGAAGACATGCCTCATTCCCCCAACCTGCACCTGCACCAGCACCATATTTCAAGTCCCTGCTCCAAAGTATGGAGGCACCAGAGCTTCTCATCACAATCACTGTAAACAATTTTTTTAACATGAGCAAAACAACATATTTTCCCTGCACCGTTCTCAGAAATGGAACAACCATTTCAGCTGAAACATCCCTCCAAAAAAATCAGCCTTGGGCAGATACCCAACATGGAGAAATTCAGCCCAAATGACTTAAGTTTACCAAAGTTATCAGCAACTGAAAACAGAGTCTTAGAATGGTAAGTGTAAAGCAACCTTAACTATAGGCAACACTATCTGTAGCATTAAAAATATATAAAAGACACAAGATCTTAAAAATCTAATGAAACATAAAAGGGAATGGCAAAGCACCGTAGAGATTACAATACAAAATATTTTAAAACTTAAAAGTAGTACACAAACTAATTTTTCCCAAGGGCAGACTATGAACTTTAGATCGTCGTTCCAAGGATGCTTTCTTTAATTGCTTTGAGACAGACATTTCTGGTCAAATCATCCTTACCCACTCCACTCTCTGTGTTCATGAAAGGTTTCAGAGGAACAGCCGTGAGCAGAATTGATGTTTATGTGGTTCAGTCATCCAAAATATTCCATAGTTCTGCTTCCATAGGAAGAATATGATAGAGCAGATGTGGTTTCTTCAACAGTGGTTGGAGAGTAGTGTTGGGGCAGCAACTGCAGGGGTGTCACTTATTGGAAATTCCTTTGCAATAAATAGAGAAATATTACCATTTCTAGGATGTCTGAAAATGCCTATAGAAAATTAAAGTTAGTCTATAGATATTCAGAATAATGTCTATATACCCCCATTAAATTTCTATGGATCCTAATTATTTCTTCCCATAGAACTTTTCCTATAAAGGTCTCCTTTCCTCCAATGGTTATGTTCCCATGAAGTTGACCTATACTACCAAACAAAGCATCTGAGTGTAGCTGTAAACCTTTACAAGAAGGCATGATCTTATATAGGGTGTCCTTCACTCATAAAGAATCTGAAGAATCACCCTGAGAAACTTGACTGCTTTATAGAATATTATTTGTGTAAAAGTATTTGATTGAGCTTTTAAAATTACATTGACATATAAAATGCCAATCAATACAGCCAGTAAAAAATTATACAAGTGAAATGTTGGAGAACAGGTATAAATGATCAAGATGAGTGCTGACAGAATAGAGGAGTTACAGCTACACAAACACATCTGATGGAAAATACTTTTCCTGTAGGCTATAAAATTCATCAAGTTTATAATTATCTGTTTGAATGAGATAAGTCCATTTCCACACACATTGTCACTGGGTTGGTACAAAGTATATATAATTTGGAAGAAAGACTTTAAAAGAGAACTATTTTTGTCCTTTCTTCTGTGAGGTACAGTAAATGTCATTTTGTCATTGGGCTCTATGAACTCAGGAGAGATCAGCTCAGTTATTTTCTTTAATCAGTGAATACTTAGTTCCTCCTTCCTCAAATAGTTCAGTTTATCTAATACAAGCAGTGAGTTGTTGCATTCCTCTAACACTTGCTCTGGTCAAATACATTTCCATTGATGCTGTTTGCTTCTGTAGCTAGAGTGACAAAATACATATATGATATGATGGCTCTCTTTTTCCCCCAAAGCCTTACCATACACTTTTTTAAAATGGTGATTCTCTCCAGCACAGACTGTCACTTTGAAATTCCCTCAATGGATCTATTAATAGCGATGCTTATGGTACCTAGGTTACATAACCATTACAACATTGTAGGGATTATCAATGAGAATGATATAAAGCAGGCTAGGCAGGGGGAGTATTATGTAAAAGACACAAATGTTCAGTTGACTTAAGATCAATTGTAGGACTTCATGAGTCAGGGGCACAAACAGAGCAGCTCCGGAAGGAGCCTCCAACCTTCTGCAAGCCACAGAAGAGCTCTCTCAGTTTTGGGTGCAGAGTAAAACTTTGCCTAAGGTTTGGGGTTTTCCGAAGAAGGGGTTTGATTCAGGCTCATTTTCATGAAGGGTTAGAAACACTGTGGGGGTGCTTAAACTTTCTTTTCTGCCTGAATCTTGAATATCTGAAAAATTGAAGTGGGAATCAAAAAGCTATTGGCTCCATAAAATGTTATTCATACGAAATGTCTTTTTTCATGTTTGCCTTGATGACAGGCACTCCCTAATGTACCACTTTACGTAGCTGGTCACTCCTCTTACCACATAGGACTTGGAGGACCAAGTTCAGTTCTGAAAGAAAGGGAGCACAGCTCATATAGAAGTCAATAGGAGCTCTACATGTTTACACCAAGGCTGAATTTGACTCAGAGCCCTGTCCCCAAATGCATGTCAATGGAAGTTCTTTGCACAGAATGATGTAGAGAATGTGCATACAGGATGGAAACTTTGATTTGTAGTTTAAATGGTTGAATGCAAAACAGTTTGACTTCCATAATGTTTAATGCAATCAGTGAGGATTCAGGCAAGTAAACTATGTATCAGCTAATAGGATGCATGAGAGCATTCGGAGTACTATTTGAATAGAATCAAAATATTTTAAAAATATAATAAAAAAGCTCTTGCAGCTGCTTCAGATATTGCTTATAACTTTGAACTTCATTCCTCATTCTAGGTTATTATATTATTATATTATTATTAATAAACGTTTCTATTGTGGTGGTCCCAAAAGGCCAATCAGGTCAGGACTTCATTGTACATGTAAATCATATAGTGAATGACACTCTCTCAGAGAGCTTACAGTCTAAGGCATAATGGGTGGATCAAAGCCTCCTTCAGTGGGACCACGTAAATTAAAATCACAAGACTTGCGATAATAAAATCACAAGACTTGCAATAAAATCATGAGACATCATGAGACATACCTTCAATCAAAATCCCAGATCCAAATACCATCATCTTGGAGAAAGTCTAGGTCCAAATTCTGCAGCCCACCTCTCTTGACACGTGAGATTCTGATTGTTCTCTTTTATTCTAAGGTGCATAAAGCACAGATATGGGAATACAACAGGGTCTTGAATTTTAGGATAGCAGAAGTGACACCATATCAGCATTTATATCCAAAGCTATGTTGATGTTCAACAAATCAGATGTAGTATGAAGCAAAACAAATTGGGAAGTTGTGTTTGTGTTGAGAATAGCCAGCGGGTGATGACCATGATTTAAATACAAGAATCTCTCCTGACTTGATATACATCTCTACCCCGATATAACTCGACCCAATATAACACGAATTTGGATATAATGCGGTAAAGCAGCACTCTGGGGGGCGGGGCTGTGCGCTCCAGCAGATCAGCGCGTCAGCGTGTCTGGCTCCGACACACTGCTCTGGGCGGCGTGTTAAGGGTGCCAGGCCGGGGCTGAGAGGTTGCATAAGGGGCAGAGGGTTTCAGGGGGCGGTCAGGGGACAGGGGGGGTTGGATGGTTCGGAGGTTCTGGGGGCGGGGCGGTCAGGGGATGGGTAAAGGGGGTGTTGGATAAGGTGTGAGAGTCGCAGAGGGCCTGTCAGGTGGTGCGGGGGTAGGATGGGTCTGGGGTTCTGAGGGGTCAGTCAGGGGGCAGGAAGTGACTATTAATAACGGAAATGCTTGAGGCCAAAGCAAGTTTGATATAACGCAGTTTTACCTATAACACGGTAAGATATTTTGGCTCCCAAGGCCGTGTTATATCAGGGTAGAGGTGTATGTATCCAAGTAAACTAGCAGCTAGACACTTGTGCATGAATGCATTTTTGAAGTCAGACACCTGACCATCCTGACAAGAAAAGCCATCCTATAAATGTGAAGATCTATTCATATTAATCTTTTTTGAAAAGAGGGCTGTAAGGCTCCCAAGAATGTGAACCCGTTCAACTCCTTTTGCTTCCTTATTTTAACAAAAACAAAATTTCAAAGGCTATATACTTTTCATGAATGTGCTTCAGAACGATTTTATTCTTTCCACACAGATAGTTTACTACATCTTTTGCATCAGACTCCAGGAGAGTTTGCAGATACATCTATCCGTTTATCTCCTTCTGTGAAGGATACGTTTAATCCTGATTATTAAATGTTTTTCCTAGACAAGAAGTTGGTGAAGAAATGTAGATTTTTTGAAGGTGTCTCATGATTTAATTCTTCGTGACAATTTACTTCATGCTCAGAAAAGCTGAGGTTTGGAGAATGCAAAGGATCTAAGAGCAAGGCATTCTTGAGCAGTGTTTCTTGCATGCAGCCACTAGTGGATTGTTTTGTGGCCATGACAGCCTCCAAAGCTTGGGCAGAGATTAGAGGGGCAAAGCAGTGGCACAATCCTGCAGTGCCCATCCTTGGTGTTTTTGCTGCATTCCCAGCAGGGATCAGTGCTCTGCACCACACAGCCTCCTCGGGAGCTCTGGGCAGCACCTCTGGAGACACGTGTAGCTGGTGTGCACAGCACCAGAGGTGGCTCTTGTCAGTGGAAGTTGCTGTGGTCTTCAGTTGCTCCTCTGGGCAGCTCCCACCCGGCTGGGGTACAGGGAGCCTGGGATTCCACAGGCAGCTGGTGAGTTCTCAACCCGCCTTCCCTGGGGAAGGCTCTCTCTGAAGGGCCACAGGAGGCAAGAACAGAGAGACGGATTTGTCAGAGTGGCCACCAGCAAGAGTTGATGGCCACACTCTGAGGCCACCCAAAAATTTGTTGTGAGAATTCCTGTTCTAGAGGTTGCACATTCATCTTACGAGTCTGATGCATCTCCCTCCTGGAAACTTTAATTCTACTGGATCACATGTCGATATTTGATCCTTCAGTGAAGTCAATGAAACTTCATGTCAAAATATCAGGATTCTTTATGTGGTGCTGTAGGACACATCTGCCTAAGGATTTTTCGGCTGAGTGTCTTTCCACAATGAGGCCTAATCTGCATTAGAAAAGATTTACAAGAATAGCTATATTGGCAAAGCACCCAAGCATAGATGTAGCCTATACTGGGGGAAAAAGTGCTTTTGGCAATATATATAATACCAGCTGATTGAGTGAAATAAGTTATACTGACAAAAGCATCTATATGCCAGTATAACTGCATCTACATCATGGGGTTTTTTTATCACTGTACAAATGTCATTAAAAAACCCCACCCCAACGGACATTATTATATCAGCAAAAGCAGTAAGTGTAGATGTGACCTGATATATGAAACAGAAAAATATTCTCATTCACTTCAAATAAGATTCAGATAATATCGCATGGTTGGATCCTAATCTCAATTTACACTGGAGAGAGGGGGCAATTCCACAAGTGCGGTAGGTCATTACAGCAATACACAGGAGTCAGGGATCCCACACAGGGGCTGCATATTCAATTAAGACTATTAAATATGGCTCTGAAGGGGTTCCTTGGACCGCAGTGCAAAGGAGGAGTTTGTGGACAGGATAGCATAATGAATCCACTGACCTGTCTACCTGCAGAATGAATGGCACAATAGAAGTGGAAGCTACTGTGGCTTATGGAGGGAGTGGGGTGGAAAAAAAAGATCTGCTCCATATCTTTATAGGGAAAGAATTCCTTCCCCCCACCTCAGCATTCAGCTTATTTATTTGAATTGTATGAAGGTATAAGGATTTCATTTTCAAAGCTTTACCATAAAGGGCAAAATAAATTGTCTTCTTTTTGGTCACTTGATCATTTTCAGTCCCCAGTGTCTCTCCAACACTTGGTGGAAAAATTGTAACAAAGCCAAAATTGATGGATAATTCAA